AGATTTCAGGGCCCGACAACCTCAGGCCTCAAGGTTTCAGGCTTTGAACCTTTGATCTTTGGTCTCTCAGGCTCAGTTCAGAAGCGATTTCTGTGACAACAACGCCATTCAACAGCCTCGCCGAAATTTGGCATCACCCGAATTCTTTTTCACAATTCCGAGGGTCCTCCTCAAATAGACTAGTTTTTCTATTTTTTTCACAATTCCGGGGGAGCACACTAATCAGGATACAACATTATGGAGCATATATTTTTCATGCCTGTAAGACAAAGATGCTGAGACCCCGGCAGGAACGACCACATCAATGGCCTCGCAGAAAGTGCAGTTGACCAAGAATTCTTGCGGTTTAAGCCCGAAACCATGACCTTTCAATACGTACACACACATGACGACAGAAAGCCGGATGTACATGTATTCGATATTCGGACGTATTCACTGATCGGGTTATTTCTCTACTGCGCTCTGGCGATCCTGGGGTGCCTTGGACGCTTGACGTGTATTCTGGGCTTGCTCGTTGTTTTTCTTAAAGCTTGCCCCCGAAATCTTTTTGGGGTTGGGCTCTCGTTTAGCGCTTCAACGTGGAAGGCACGCTATCGGATCGGCCACGAAGAGGAGACGGTCAGCGGAGGAGAGGGGAGAGGGGCGGGGACCATCACATCGCGGTTGACGCAAGGGTTCGGGGGGGGGGAGGACACGCAGGAGGGTACGCGGACGGAGTGTGACATTCGGTGGACGTGCAGGTGAGCAGGTTTTTGATAGCTGGTTGATGAGTGTGGAGACGCCGCGCAGACATCCCCCCCCTGCCACCCCCTACCCGCGCTTCCCTGCCCCCTGGCGGGATTGGATCTTGGATCTTGGGCCATGGTACGTAAGGTGTTAAATACTTGAAAAAACGAGTTGACATTTAGAGAACTGTGTCAACTTATGTCAACTTGCTGTTGCTTAGTTGGGAATGGGGGAACGAAGCCTTACACTCCCTTCACTGCAGGATTCCCCAGTATGAGGACAGCAAAGAATAAGATCGTCGTTGTCGGTGTTGATTTCTGCACTCTTATCCCTGAGTGCCAACACATGTCCGAACTACATATCCCATTTCCGTGTTAGTGGTTGCAGTTCAGGTTTGGGGCATGGCCCCTGAGGGCTCGCAATGGTTCTGCTATTAGCGTAGTGCAATGGTCAGATTCGCGCTGGCCCTTGAAAGCTACTTTCCGTACATGGCAAGGTAAGTTATGGGTATTATGGGCCACACGCCTATGTCAAAAGCCGCAGGCTGCGAAGCTCAGGAGAACACTGCGGAATGCCATTGTCTTTCTGCTGTGTGCCGGGCCTCATCGAGGCAGAAGTGGGAATCCATGTGCCTTGGCAGTGGGCATCATGGACAATCTTCAGCAACGCCGTCAACCCGAACTCTTCTGGTATGCCCTATTCTGCCCTGGTCAAAAACGAACGAGGCACCTCATCCATGCACACAGCCCTCGTCCGTACAGGTATGGAATGAAGTCATCGACCGTGGGCTGCTGACCTTGCACCACGAGTGTGGTGGAAAAGAGCGCCCAGGCATAGGCATCGCCCAGGAGGAAAGCACGCTGACCAAATGCCGCTTGGGAGTCGGCACTGAGATCATCAACAGATGCCAAGTCCAAAGACAATGGACTCTTCTTCCGAAGCTTCTCACAAGTGCGAATACGATCCGCGAGGGCCTGAATTCTGCAGTCTATCTGCCGGAAGACGAATCTCTTAGGCAAAGTAATGCTTTGTTCGTTCTCGCCCTGGGCAATAGCGGACAATGCCTTCATCTCTGTGGTGAAGTTCCGTATGGCCCGCTCAAGAAATTGGGCAGCCTTTGCTGAATCCTTGGTCTTTGAGGAGAGCCCGGCACCCAGAATTGCTGCATAACCAGTCCACTCGCCAAGACAACCTGCCAGGGTCAGAGCTCGCATGCTCGCTCACTCGCATGCTCGCTCGCTCGTTGGCTCGCTCGCTCGTTGGCTCGCTGGCTCGCTGGCTTGCTCATTGCTTGCTTTGCTTTTTGCTTTGCTTTTTGCTTTGCTTTTTGCTTTGCTTTTTGCTTTGCTTTTTGCTTTGCTTTTTGCTTTGCTTTTTGCTTTGCTTTTTGCTTTGCTTTTTGCTTTGCTTTTTGCTTTGCTTTTTGCTTTGCTTTTTGCTTTGCTTTTTGCTTTGCTTTTTGCTTTGCGCTTTGCGCTGTGCTTTGCTCTTTGCTTTGCTCTTTGCTTTGCTCTTTGCTTTGCTCTTTGCCTTGCTCTTTGCCTTGCTCTTTGCCTTGCTCTTTGCCTTGCTCTTTGCCTTGCTCTTTGCTTTGCTCTTTGCTTTGCTCTTTGCTTTGCTCTTTGCTTTGCTCTTTGCTTTGCTCTTTGCTTTGCTCTTTGCTTTGCTCTTTGCTTTGCTCTTTGCTTTGCTCTTTGCTTTGCTCTTTGCTTTGCTCTTTGCTTTGCTCTTTGCTTTGCTCTTTGCTTTGCTCTTTGCTTTGCTCTTTGCTTTGCTCTTTGCTTTGCTCTTTGCTTTGCGCTTTGCTTTGCTCTTTGCTTTGCTCTTTGCTTTGCTCTTTGCTTTGCTCTTTGCTTTGCTCTTTGCTTTGCTCTTTGCTTTGCTCTTTGCTTTGCTCTGCGCTTTGCTCTGTGCTTTGCTCTGTGCTTTGCTCTGTGCTTTGCGCTTTGCTTTGCTCTGTGCTTTGCGCTTTGCTTTGCTCTTTGCTTTGCTCTTTGCTTTGCTCTGTGCTTTGCTCTTTGCTTCGCTCTTTGCTTCGCTCTTTGCTTTGCTCTTTGCTTTGCTCTTTGCTTTGCTCTTTGCTTTGCTCTTTGCTTTGCTCTTTGCCTTGCTCTTTGCTTTGCTCTTTGCTTTGCTCTTTGCTTTGCTCTTTGCTTTGCTCTTTGCTTTGCTCTTTGCTTTGCTCTTTGCTTTGCTCTTTGCTTTGCTCCTTTGCTTTGCTTTGCTTTGCTTTGCTCTGTGCTTTGCTCTGTGCTTTGCTCTGTGCTTTGCTCTTTGCTTTGCTCTTTGCTTTGCTCTTTGCTTTGCTCTTTGCTTTGCTCTTTGCTTTGCTCTTTGCTTTGCTCTTTGCTTTGCTCTTTGCTTTGCTCTTTGCTTTGCTCTTTGCTTTGCTCTTTGCTTTGCTCTGTGCTTTGCTCTGTGCTTTGCTCTTGCTTTGCTCTTGCTTTGCTCTTTGCTTTGCTCTTTGCTTTGCTTTGCTTTGCTTTGCTTTGCTCTTTGCTTTGCTCTTTGCTTTGCTCTTTGCTTTGCGCGTTGCTTTGCGCGTTGCTTCGCGCGTTGCTTTGCGCTTTGCTTTGCTCGTTGCTTTGCGCGTTGCTTTGCGCGTTGCTTTGCGCGTTGCTTTGCGCGTTGCTTTGCGCGTTGCTTTGCGCGTTGCTTTGCGCGCTGCTTTGCGCGCTGCTTTGCGCGCTGCTTTGCGCGCTGCCTTGCGCGCTGCTTTGCGCGCTGCTTTGCGAAGCGCGCTGCTTTGCTTTGTGCGCTGCTGTGCGCGCTGCTTTGCTTTGCGCGCTGCTTTGCTTTGCGCGCTGCTCTGCTTTGCGCGCTGCTCTGCTTTGCGCGCTGCTCTGCTTTGCGCGCTGCTCTGCTTTGCGCGCTGCTCTGCTTTGCGCGCTGCTCTGCTTTGCGCGCTGCTCTGCTTTGCGCGCTGCTCTGCTTTGCGCGCTGCTCTGCTTTGTGCGCTGCTTTGCGTTGCGCGCTGCTTTGCGTTGCGCGCTGCTTTGCGTTGCGCGCTGCTTTGCTTTGCGCGCTGCTTTGGCCCTTTGCCTTTTGCCTTTGCCTTTTGCCTTTGCTTTTTGCCTTTGCTTTTTGCCTTTGCTTTTTGCCTTTTGCCTTTTGCCTTTTGCCTTTTGCCTTTTGCCTTTTGCTTTTTGCTTTTTGTTTTTTTGCTTTTTGCTTTTTGCTCTTTGCTCTGTGCTCTGTGCTCTCTGCTCTCTGCTCTCTGCTCTTAGCTCTTAGCTCCTAGCTCCTAGCTCCTAGCTCGTAGCCCTTAGCTCTTAGCTCTTTGCTCTTTGCGCTTTTTGCTTTGCTTTGCTTTGCTTTGCGTTGCTTTGCGTTGCTTTGCGTTGCTTTGCTTGCTTTGCTTGCTTGGCTTGCTTGGCTTGCTTGGCTTGCTTGGCTTGCTTGGCTTGCTTGCGTTCTTGCTTCCTTGCGTTCTTGCTTGATTGCGTTCTTGCTTGATTGCGTTTGTGGTTTGTGGTTTGTGGCTTGTGGCTTGTGGCTTGTGGCTTGTGGTTGCTGGTTGCTGGTAGCTGGTGGCGGTTGGCGGTTGGCGGTTGGGGGTTGGGGGTTGGGGGTTGGCGGTTGTTGCTTGTTGCTTGTTGCTTGCTGCTTGCTGCTTGCTGCTTGCTGGTTGCTGGTTGCTGGTTGCTGGTTGCTAGTTGCTGGTTGTTGGTTGTTGGTTGTTGGTTGTTGGTTGTTCGTTGTTGGTTGTTGGTTGTTGGTTGCTTTTTATTGGTTGGTGGTTGCTTTTTGTTGGTTGCTGTTTGTTTTTTTGTTGGTTGTTGGTTGATTTTTTGTTGGTTGTTAGTTGTGTTTTTGTTGGTTGTTGGTTGCTGGTTGTCGGCTGTGGGTTGTTGGTTGTTGGTTGTTGGTTGTTGGTCGTGCATGTGTTGCCGGTTGTGTGTGCGTGTGCGCGTGTGTACGTGTGTACGTGTGTACGTGTGTACGTGTGTGCGCGTGCGAGTGCGAGTGCGAGTGCGAGTGCGAGCGCGCGCGTGCGCGTGTGGGCATTTGAGGGCATGTGTGGGCATATGTGTGTGTGTGTGTGTGTGTGTGTGCGTGCGTGCGTGCGTGTGTGTGTGCGTGTGTGTGTGTGTGTGTGTGTGTGTGTGTGTGTGTGTGTGTGTGTGTGTGTGTTGTGTTGTGTGTTGTTGTGTGTGGTGTGTGTGTGTGTGTGTGTGTGTCTGTGTCTGTGTCTGTGTCTGTGTCTGTGTCTGTGTCTGTGTCTGTGTCTGTGTCTGTGTCTGTGTCTGTGTCTGTGTCTGTGTATGTGTCTGTGTCTGTGTCTGTGTCTGTGTCTGTGTCTGTGTCTGTGTCTGTGTCTGTGTCTGTGTCTGTGTCTGTGTCTGTGTCGGTGTCTGTGTCTGTGTCTGTGTCTGTGTCTGTGTCTGTGTCTGTGTCTGTGTCTGTGTCTGTGTCTGTGTCTGTGTCTGTGTCTGTGTCTGTGTCTGTGTCTGTGTCTGTGTCTGTGTCTGTGTCTGTGTCTGTGTCTGTGTGTGTGTGTGTGCGTGTGCGCGCTTGCGTGCGTGCGTGCGTGCGTGCGTGCGTGCGTGCGTGGGCGTGCGTGGGTGTGCGTGCGTGTGTGCGTGCGTGTGTGCGTGCGTGCGTGCGTGCGTGCGTGTGTGGGTGTGCGTGCGTGCGTGTGTGCAGTGCGTGTGTGGGTGTGTGTGTGTGTGTGTGCTGTGTGTGTGTGTGTGCAGTGTGTGTGTGTGTGTGTGTGTGTGTGTGTGTGTGCGCGCTTGCGTGCGTGCGTGCGTGCGTGCGTGCGTGGGTGGGTGGGTGGGTGGGTGGGTGTGTGTGTGTGTGTGTGTGTGCTTGTGCTAATGTTTGTGTTTGTTTCCTGTTTGTGATTGTTTGTTGTATTTGTTTGTTGCTTTTGTGCTTATGTTCGTGTGCGCGCGTGGGCGTGTGCGCGTGTGTGCGTGCGCGCGTGTGTGGGCATGTGGCCGTGCGTGCGTGTGTGCGTGTGGGCGCGCGTGTGCGTGCGCGCGTGTGTGCATGTGTGTGTGTGTGTGTGCTCTGAGCCTAACCCCTCAACCTCAAACCCTAAACTAGCCCAGCTAAAACACCAATCACTGCAAATTCAGGAACAAAAGCCTCCGGGGCTGGCGTCGTCGTCGTGGTTGTTGCATTCACGCGTTGGCTTTGCCGAAAAGCGAGATGCTGCATCCAGCATTTCTAGGGCAGGCGCCAAGTCTGTCTCAAGTGCCTTAGCCAGGAGTACAAACTGGCTGGCATCAAACCGGAAATGCCAGCAGACCTGCTGAAGCCTGGAAAGGAGCAACGTGTCCGACCCAAATCGGAAATCCTTGTTGCAGTACACATGCCCGTCTTCAAGAAGTTTTGTGAAGGTAGGAACATCTGAGCCATCTCCGTTCTGCTGGGAATCATACCATATCGCCCATCTGTCTTGGATGATGGAATGGAAGGCGGCATGCAATTCAGTGTCCAGCTTCTTCTTGTTCGCCGCATCTTCGGGAACCACTTGCTTCACCATATCTGCTGCCCACTTTACCGCATGCTCGGCAAATGGCTGCATCAATTCGAAGTCTTTTGTAGAAAGCCTCTTCGCATTCTCCTCCAAGCCGTATAAAAGCTTTTCTTCTTCTGCTGCCTTCACATTCCCAGCGGCCCAAGCCGCGAGTGCAAGGTCTCCGATGGCAGCGGCGCTGGTGTGCAGGAGGATCTCCTGAGCAAGGCCAGCGTTGCCATTGCGGCCAGCACGTCCTCGAGCTTGCTCCGCCTGGCGCCGGCCAAGTATGCTGCCGGTGATCACATAGAGCACTCCGTCCTTTTCTCCTCAATTTTTCTTAGATTTGGAAACTAGAGGAAACGATGCTTCTGCGCGTTGAAGGCGTTGGAGGGCACGCGTGGGTGACACGGAGGACAGACGGGACCGGGGGAGGGAGCGAGCGAGACGAAAAGTGACGTGAATATGTTGCAGGAAAGCCATGCCAACAACAGAGCAAACACCCGTATTGTACACACCTCAAGCCCGAAACGAAACAACAACCCTGCCAGCATGAAAAACGGACAGGGAAACAAGACTGTTTGGCTCTAGGAATCTTCCACCAAGATTGTTTGGCTCTAAGAATCTTCCATCCAAACCCCAGCTCTACCACCCCCTCTAAACATAGCCAAAATTTTAAACGGCCGAGGAAGTGGTTTAACCCTTTCTGTTTTTGCGTTCTAGTTTTTTTTGTTTTTTTTGGGGTGGGGGGGGGGGGCTCCCTATTGCAATATAGAGAAAGAAAACAGAGGTTTTCCTATTAAATTTCAAAGGGAATAGAGGTGTTCCTATAAAAACCCAAAGAGGATAGAGGTTTATTTTGGATTTTAATACAAAGTACATAAAGGTTGTCCTCATAAAATACAAAGGAAATACAGGTTTTCTCTTAAAATACAGATTCTTTTATTAAAATACCAAGGAAACATAGGGTTTTTTCCCGTCAGCGGCAGGGTTTTACCAGTAAAAGTGAAAGGAGATAGAGGTTATCCATACCAGGCGGGGAAAGAGGGTTTGCCTATTGAAAAAAAACAGAGAAACTAGAGGTTGTACTACTGGCAGAGAGAGGGCCTTTTTCCAAAAAATAAGGAAAATGATCTTAAAATTCAAAGACACACATAAGGCTTCTAAAAGATAAAGACGCATAGAGGTTTGCTTTATAGGTTTCTTCAAAACTCATTTTAGGGTTTACTGTGTTGAACTTGCACGAACGAACGGCGCCGGGGGCGGGCTCAACCCCACCCCCGCTGAGAGTCCTCACACAGCGGGCGAGGGGTTAGGGACTAAGTTACGGAACATTCAAGCCCAAAAAACACTGATATAACCCCTTAAGCCCGAAAACCCTCAACCCCTTGCATCCCTGCAGCGCCCGAACGAACGGCAGCGAGGGTGGGCCCAGTCCCACCCCGATCCAGAGTCCTGACGAGTTAGGGACTTGCAAACACGATTCTCGCATGATGGGTTTCCAAAAATGCATGTGTATGCTTTGAAGCAAGCTTGCACGGCTCAAAAAAGCGGGGGGGTTGGGGCGGGCGCAGCGCCCCCCCCCCCCCCCCCTTTGCAAGCACGATTCTCGCATGATGGGTTTCCAACAATCTATGTATATGCTTTGAAGCAAGCTTGCACGGCTAAAAAACAGCTGGGGGGTTGTGCGGGGGGGCGCAGCCCCCGTGATGATTGCGTCCATGATGCCTTGGATGCTTGTTGGAGGCCCTGGAGTCTGCATAAGAGAACTCAAGCCTTCAGATTCTCCTTACTTGTTTGGGAACGAGGTGATGAGTTGAGAGCAACTCAGGATCCAGATTTACTAATCCCCGAGGGCGACTTGATTGTAAGCGCTTGCGCACGCCGCCTCGGCAGCCGGCCTTGCTGAAGACTCGGAGGTAGCAAGGCTGCACTTGGATGGTCGGTGCTGGTTGCATCTAGATAGGCTACAAACTAGTCACATGGAGCCCACTTGCAACTGGAAAGCCAACATAGGCTGTCTCCACTTAACCTGCTTAATTTTCGCCGACTTGAGCCACTTAGCGAAGTAGGCATAAATGACATAGCTATCCGGTTTAGCCTAGATATACATATGTCGGCTAAGTGGACTTAGCCGAGTTGCTAACTGAGTTGGCATCTGAGCTAAGTGATCTTAAACAAGAGCACAAAATCCAAAACATCAATGGGGCCTATGCTGGCAAAACAGTTTCAGGACACTCTCGAAACCCATCTATAAGACATCCCCCCCAAAAAAAACGCCCGGTGCTTGGCCTGCTGGGGGCCGGCTGCGGCTGCCTCCGCAAGGGATGTATTTCAAGAAAGATGTGTTAGGTCCAGTTTGAGGTTGAAGTGTCAGGCTGGAAATGTTTATGGGGCCCTATATAGAACAGGTTTTTGCTTGCATGATTTGAGTGAGTTTGAGGCGATATGAGATTTGGATCCTGAGGTGAGGCGGTGCATCCCAATAATCATCTAAAAAAGGGCATGCCTTCGTAGATCAGGAGCAAAGAGTTTCAGACCTGCAAAAGTAACCAAGCCCAAAACTAAACCGCGAAGTCCTTACTTGAGCCCTAAACCCTTCAGCAGGGGGCCTCTTTGACACGGAAACTGTCACGCCTTGACAAATCCCTGACACGACCCCTTGAAACCCCAAAAGTTAAGCCGAGAACTCACAGGCAGACCTAGAAAGTTCGGGTCTCGAGGGTTTGTGGAGTTATACAGGGTTACACTTGTTCTATGGGCATAAGGGTCAGGAGCTATATTGTAGGGTTTATATGGGGGCTTGAGAGCTCGTCCTACAAGTTGGACTTGTTTTCTTTGCAGGCGCGCAATGTGCACAGGAAGGCTTTGTGCTTGAAAAGAACATAGCTTTAGGCCCACTATATATCTGAAGGGTGTATATGATGGGTTGTTTTTTGTAAGGGATCAAGCAGCAAAGTGCTGAGGCACGATGTGGATGAACTCTCCGGTCTTCCGAGTGATGCAAGGTCCACGAATGGAGGATGCCTGAACGAAGGTGCAGTTGTCCTGCGATTTCCTGAACATGTTAGGGGTGGAACATGCGTCGAGCAATGTCACACATGTCAGCAAGCGACCTTCGAAACAGCAATGGTACAAGATTTCAGCTACGGCCACCGGGTCGGCCAGGAGCACAACGTCGCCTGTTGCAAGCAACCGCCACTTGGTCACTTCAGCCTTTCCACTCATCGTCAAACCCTCGGCCGAAAAAAGTCCGAAGTAGGCTGCAAAAGCTCTTTGTAGCGACGGGCTGGCTGGTCTGGGCAGTTGCAACTGGTTCGGAAAATCCAACCTCAAGCGCTCCAAGGCCTCCATGTGTGTAAGTTGCATTTCTTGGAGCAAAGATTTTTCTGTTCCTTGTCTCGAGTTGCACTGCACATTGGCGTAACGTTTTAACTCTTTATGTCGCCGCTCGTGAGTGAGGCAACTTATGAGACAGCCGTGCTGTCGGAGCTGCCCGGCCAGGTGCATGCTCATGTGCGCTTTCGGTAAAAAAGTCTCGTCCGGATAGACGGCGAGGTACCGATCCAAGTATGCCTTGATCGTAGTTCTCAACTCATCGTGGCCAACGTTGTCGCACAAAGTCCGTTGTCCCCACAAAAGCCGAAACCCCAAAGAAGCTGAACCCCTGCATTTCCAACCGTGTCCACGGTTGTTGTGCGTGGCCCCAGAGTCCATGAAATTGGTGGCAAGCACGGCCCCGTTGCTGAAACGTACGCAGTAGATGGTATACATGTATGGTGTGGTTGAAATCTTGGTTTATAGCATTTCTTCGGAAAGCGCGGGGGCATGCCGAAACACCGACCTGTGTTTAAAGGTCCCATGGTGCAAGTGTAGTGAAATGAATGCTGCTAGCACAGACTCAAACCAATAGGTCTGCATCATGGGGCCACGGATGACGTCAGGCTGTCTCACCCGGGCTCTGGCTGCATGCTGGTACAGAAGGGGCTTGGGGGGGGGGGGGGGGGGTTTTGCAAGGTTCAGAGGTCATGGTTGTTGCTGTGAATGACAAGATTGACCGGATTTCGTGGTGCAGAGGTGTAGATGCAATGTTTCGGTGCCCCGCTTTCGCTGCAGCCAGACCCGGTGCCACTCGAGAGCTTTGTGATCGGAAAACACAAAGCAGGGTTGGAGCCCAGTGAGTGCATTTGTGTCGGTCTAATCTGAAACACTCCGCAAAATAGGAAGGGGTCAAAGAATTATTTAGCAGGCGAAGGCATTTTCCAAGCTACGGGCGCTGTTTGGGCAACTTTTGGCGAGAAATCTACGAAAAAAAATTTGCGAGAGTTTCCCCTGGGCGGAGACCCAAAATGGAAGGGGCAATAAGCAGCCACTTTATGGATACATAAACTGGCCCATGGAAAGTTTATGGAAACATAAAGTGGGGCCTCGACAGTTTATGCAAACATAAAGTTTTCGATTTCAGAAATGAGAAACAACTTGGAAAAAAAAACTATAGGAAAACTTCTGGAAACATAAAGTGTCGACCCTCTTTTTTATGGAAACAAAACCGTGCCTTTTTGATTGGCCTCTTGGATGGGTTGGGTACTTGTGTGACCCATTTTGCTTCGCGACTGGAAGGGGTGTCCGCACAGTGACAGGAGGACCGTTTTGCTGGCGAATGTCAGGCTGGGCTGGGTGATTGCTTCACGACATCTCAGAAGCCTTTGGTCCACTGTGGCCTGGAGGAGCATGTTGAGGTTCACTGCAGTTCTGCACGTTTTTCTACCTTAAGGAAGCCCCAAGTCCAGAAAAAAAACAAAAAACACGTAGACGTCGGTCTTCCAAGATTGTGGGAAATGTGTGGTCAGCCCCTTCAGATCAGCTGTGGTGCTTGGTGCCTGCTGTCTGCTTGTAGGAATGCCAGCGTTCATTTGCATGTATAGGCATGCATCAAGAAGACACTGTCAGCCGCATGCAGATTGTTTTGCTGGCAGTGAAAGCAGGGCTGTGCTCGCTTTGCGCTCGCAGGGCTTTGCTCGCGAGATTGTGCCAGAAAGAGAACCCCTCCGGTGATAGTCAGCATGGGTGACCAATTGGTGCTGATGATGAGGCAGCTGTCTACCTTCCTGGTCCAGCAACGTGGGGTCGTGGATGAGGGCACCTGGCTTGGCATGCTCAAGTCGCACAAGGAGACGTGCAGCAATGCCATCACGAAGATAGCTGGGCTTACTCCGGCTGCTGCCACGGAAGTGAGTGCTGCTATCTCGGCCGGGCCATGGAGTGTAGAGCAAAAAGCGGAGGATCAGCTGAGCAGCCCGACGAAAGGGGCTGCGAGGCCCCAACAGGGCTGTGCCAAGTTCGGGGCTTTCCTCTCCCGACAGGATCGAGAGGTGTTGAGGGACCCCACAAAGAGCGAGGCACAGAAACTGGAGCAACTCGCGACCCGTTGTCTCAAGATTGGCCTGGTCTTGCCAACAGAGTCGGCCAAAGGGGGGATTCTTTGCTGCGGTGTCGCAGCAGGGCTGGTGCTTGAGACACCCCAAGCCTTTTACGAGGCTCTGGGCAGTTTCAAGAAGATACTGAAGAGGAGAGGGCAGCAGATGCCCAGGACGATTCACCTGACCATGTATCCAGACAGTCCTGAGCTCCTGCCAGAAGACCTGAAGAGCTCGTACGCGCATGACCCGGCCGAGCCCCTGACCACGGATGACATGCTCTCGGTGAAGAGCATCCAGACTTTGAGGGGCAACGCCAAGGCCTTGGTCGCTTCCAAAGGCAGCCAAGCTTCGGGATCAAGGGCAATGGTGCCGGCCACCTCCTCCAACCCCTTGAGTGGCCTGACCACGGGAGGCGATCCAATGACCATGCTGTGTTCTGGCCTCATGAACATGTTCCAGAGCCACTTCTTGGCACAGAACGAGGGAGCCGCGCCGAATCTCCACATCTTCACTCCCCACAAACAGCAGAAACAAAAGGCCCTCATGCCGGCGATTCCCAGCACTAGCCCTGCTCCTGCCGAAGCCAACCCTGCTCGCCCCGGCAGGCACTGGCCCGGTGGAATCGTTGGTCCAGATGCACCCCACAGAAGCCCTTGCCATGGAAGGGGAGCCTTCCATTGAGGATCAGCTGGGACGGCATGACTCTGGAAAGCCCAGCAAGAAACCCGCCGCCAAGACCGTCATGAAGAAGCCCGGTGCCAACAAGAAGCCCACACACAAGCCCGAGGACAAGGTGAAGGCCAAGGCCACTCCCAAACCCAAGACAAGCCCCAAAGCCAAAGCTTCCATCAACCCCATCGTCAAGAAGATCACGAAGAAGTCCGGCTGGCTCGTGGAGTATCGTCGCAAGAGCACATGTGGCAGCCTCTATGGCAAATGGGTGAGTCCGACCGGCGAGATCTACAGCTCTGGAGTGCAGGCAGCCCAGTACGGGTACGACCCTAACGAAGAAGACAAGTGAGCGGGATGATGGCGTAGAGCATGCAGAAAGTCTTTCTGCAGGTTTTGTGCGTCTTGAGAAGAAACCGCCAGTTTGCATATTGGCACCAGACTGCTGTCACATTTCGCTTTGCGACCATGCCGGAACCCCAATCCCGCTGCAGGCTCTGCGCGCGCACATCTTCGATCGATACCAGGCCTCCCTGCTTGGTGTGTTTCGGGGTGGCCCTTCTTCAGACTTACGAGTATTGGGAGTGTACGTATGTGCTTGTGGAAAATCGGGGGTTGCAACGGAGACAGAGGATGCAGATTGGGTTGATAAGAATGCCCTGTGTGTATATGATCGTCCAGATGGACACTGAACACCCGAGCAAGCATGAGACCTTCCTGTCCACATTCTCTCTTCTGGACAGCGTGTGAGAACCTGGGAGGAACACGAGGCCATGAACAGCCGGCCATTCTGGAGTCGCTCCAGGAGGCACTCAAGGGTTTAGGGTTTAGGGTTTAGGGTTTATGTTTAGGGTTTAGGGTTTAGGGTTTAGGGTTTAGGGTTTAGGGTTTAGGGTTTAGGGTTTAGGGTTTAGGGTTTAGGGTTTAGGGTTTAGGCGATAACCCGCGAAGCACAAGGGCCCTCACTGCTCTCTTGGGACATGAGAGGCCCTTCACTGCTCTTGGGGCCCCGGAAGCATGAGGGATTAGAGGCCCTTCACTGGGACCCCGGAAACATGAGGGATTAGAGGCCCTTCACTGCTCTCTTGGGACCCCCGGAAGCACGAGGGATTAGAGGCCCTTCACTGCTCTCTTGGGACCCGGAAGCATGAGGGATTAGAGGCCCTTCACTGTTCTCTTGCGACCCCCGGAAGCATGAGGGATTAGAGGCCCTTCACTTCTCTTGGGACCCCCGGAAGCATGAGGGATTAGAGGCCCTTCACTGCTCTCTTGGGACCGCCGGGAGCATGAGGGATTAGAGGCCCTTCACTGCTCTTTGGTAACCCCCTGAAGCATGAGGGATTAGAGGCCCTTCACTGCTCTCTTGGGACCCCCGGAAGCATGAGGATTAGAGGCCCCTCACTGCCCTCTCAGACCCTCCCACCCTGGGAGTCCTGAATTGTCTTGTAGCATTTTGGAAGAAGGTCCCAAAGTCCTTGGGTGGTCTATATAGAGCTTCTTCATGCTTTCTGATCTTGTTTCGCTTTGGGTCACTATGAAGGGTTTTGAGTATAGGGTTGGAGAGGTTTTTGGTTTCGAAATAGGCTTTTGATATCGGGTTTCAGACATGCCCGACATGATTGCATCCGTTGTTGACAGAGCGTCTGCAAACAGTGCAGAGTTACATGCATTCGCCCCCTGCAAGCTATAGGACTATAGTGCGCAGGCTTTGTCAAGAGGTATGTACTGTGCACAGGAAGCGGAACTGTAGAGATCCTGAGCCCCCCCAAAGCAACCATGTTGTGCTCTAGAGTTTCCAGATATCCGACTTGCAGGGCACGAGGCTCGCAAGTTGTGGAGCAGGGCCGCGCTCGCTCCTGCAGAGGGTGTGTTTTGAGATGCCCTTGGACCTGAGCAAGCTGGGTAGGAAGAGCTTTGTTTCTCAACAAGGCTTGGCTGAAGTTCTGCAAGCTGTGGCAGAAGCTGGTGAGCTGCCGCCTGGTACTTCCAGAAGTGCTGTGAAGCGATCTCGGCAAAAGGCTATCGCAGCAGATACTCCATTCGGAAGCACGCTGAAGCACTGGACCTTGAAAAACGTCCACGGCGGGGAAACCACAGTGCACTACTTGGACCCAGCTGCCTGTCTCTGGTATAGTGTCCAGACGTGTCAGTTGTTCCAAGAGTTTTTCGCCCAGGTGGCAATTCAGAAGCCGAGCAGCCCCACGAACAGATGGTCTATAATTTTGTACGAGGACGAGGTTGCCCCAGGCAACCAACTCAAACCAACCAATTCCAGGCGACTCCAAACCTTTTATTGGAGTTTTAAAGAATTTGGCAGCAGCTTAACCAACGAAGATGCGTGGCTGGTGCTGAGTACAGTCCGCACGAGCACTGTAAATGAGTTGGTGGATGGGTTGACACAGGTTGCCAAGCACGCGATGTTGAGCTTCAACCAGTTGGGTCGCAGCTTCATGCATGGTCTCCACATTCCCTGCCGGGGTCGCCCAAGCTTGGTCTTGTGTGCTGAGCTCCAGATCCTGGTTGCTGACGAGTCGGCTCTCAAGCATCTGCTTGAATTCAAGGGCGCGTCGGGCAAAATGCCCTGTTTTTTTGCAGGAATACGATCAACGCACGGTACGCTCCGGCCGAGCTCGACCCCAGCATGGTGCTTCATACATGTACGGACGACGCTCGCTTCAAGTTGCATTCCCTGAACTCTCTGCAGGCCGCCCTTGCTTACCTCGCAGAGAACGAAGACCAAGTGACGCAGCAGGCTTTTGCAAAGATGCAGACAAACCTGGGATTCAACCTCTGCAAGGAGGGGGTCCTCCGATGCAATGATGTCTTGACGCAGTTCGATCCGACTCGGGGGACTATGTTCGATTGGGCCCACATTTTCCTTGTATCCGGGCTGTGGCATTTCGAGGTCAATTTGCTCCTGGTCAGGTTGAGCCGTGCAAACGTCAAACAGCAACAGATCCACGAAGCCTTCCAAGAATACCATTTGCCGTCCTTTATAGCAGGGAAAGGTTGCGACATCAAAAAGGTTTTCCAGAAGAAGAAAACAAGTGATGCCGACTTCAAGTCCTCAGCGACCGAAGCTCTCGCAGCCTATCCGATTCTCAGAGACATCTTGCACAACATCAGGCAAGCCACCGTGCTGCCAGCGGAGGCTGCAGAGGCTATCAGTTGTTATATGTTGCACTGCAAGTGCTTGGATTTGTTACAACGGACTTTGTGCGACAACGTTGGCCACGATGAGTTGAGAACTACGATCAAGGCATACTTGGATCGGTACCTCGCCGTCTATCCGGACGAGACTTTTTTACCGAAAGCGCACATGAGCATGCACCTGGCCGGGCAGCTCCGACAGCACGGCTGTCTCATAAGTTGCCTCACTCACGAGCGGCGACATAAAGAGTTGAAACGTTACGCCAATGTGCAGTGCAACTCGAGACAAGGAACAGAAAAATCTTTGCTCCAAGAAATGCAACTTACACACATGGAGGCCTTGGAGCGCTTGAGGTTGGATTTTCCGAACCAGTTGCAACTGCCCAGACCAGCCAGCCCGTCGCTACAAAGAGCTTTTGCAGCCTACTTCGGACTTTTTTCGGCCGAGGGTTTGACGATGAGTGGAAAGGCTGAAGTGACCAAGTGGCGGTTGCTTGCAACAGGCGACGTTGTGCTCCTGGCCGACCCGGTGGCCGTAGCTGAAATCTTGTACCATTGCTGTTTCGAAGGTCGCTTGCTGACATGTGTGACATTGCTCGACGCATGTTCCACCCCTAACATGTTCAGGAAATCGCAGGACAACTGCACCTTCGTTCAGGCATCCTCCATTCGTGGACCTTGCATCACTCGGAAGACCGGAGAGTTCATCCACATCGTGCCTCAGCACTTTGCTGCTTGATCCCTTACAAAAAACAACCCATCATATACACCCTTCAGATATATAGTGGGCCTAAAGCTATGTTCTTTTCAAGCACAAAGCCTTCCTGTGCACATTGCGCGCCTGCAAAGAAAACAAGTCCAACTTGTAGGACGAGCTCTCAAGCCCCCATATAAACCCTACAATATAGCTCCTGACCCTTATGCCCATAGAACAAGTGTAACCCTGTATAACTCCACAAACCCTCGAGACCCGAACTTTCTAGGTCTGCCTGTGAGTTCTCGGCTTAACTTTTGGGGTTTCAAGGGGTCGTGTCAGGGATTTGTCAAGGCGTGACAGTTTCCGTGTCAAAGAGGCCCCCTGCTGAAGGGTTTAGGGCTCAAGTCAGGACTTCGCGGTTTAGTTTTGGGCTTGGTTACTTTTGCAGGTCTGAAACTCTTTGCTCCTGATCTACGAAGGCATGCCCTTTTTTAGATGATTATTGGGATGCACCGCCTCACCTCAGGATCCAAATCTCATATCGCCTCAAACTCACTCAAATCATGCAAGCAAAAACCTGACCTTTTTTCGGGCCCCATAATTATTCCAGCCTGACACTTCAACCTCAAACTGGACCTAACACATCTTTCTTGAAATACATCCCTTGCGGAGGCAGCCGCAGCCGGCCCCCAGCAGGCCAAGCACCGGACGTTTTTTTTGGGGGGGATGTCTTATAGATGGGTTTCGAGAGTGTCCTGAAACTGTTTTGCCAGCATAGGCCCCATTGATGTTTTGGATTTTGTGCTCTTGTTTAAGATCACTTAGCTCAGATGCCAACTCAGTTAGCAACTCGGCTAAGTCCACTTAGCCGACATATGTATATCTAGGCTAAACCGGATAGCTATGTCATTTATGCCTACTTCGCTAAGTGGCTCAAGTCGGCGAAAATTAAGCAGGTTAAGTGGAGACAGCCTATGTTGGCTTTCCAGTTGCAAGTGGGCTCCATGTGACTAGTTTGTAGCCTATCTAGATGCAACCAGCACCGACCATCCAAGTACTGGGAGACAGCGCCGGAGGGGCGCGAGAGCGAGCTGCGGCACGTGCGACGGCGCGGGACGCTGATGAGGAGTTTCGTGGAAGTATATAGTACTGGGAGGACAAAGCCGGAGGGGTGCAAGAGCGGACTGCGGCACGTGCGACGGCGCGTACGGTGGCGCGGGGACGCTGCGGGGATTTTCGTTGCATTGTAACGAAGGAAGTACTGGGCGGACAGAGCCGGAGGGGCGCGAGAGCGAACTGCGGCACGTGCGACGGCGCGTACGGCGGCGCGGGACGCGGAGGGATTTTCGTTGACTTGTGGTACAAGTGTAGTTCTGGGAGGACAGAGCGGGGCGCGAGAGCCGGAGGGGTGCAGAGCGGACTGCGGCGCGTGCGGGGATCCAAGATGATGAGTTCTGACCGGGTACAACCAAAGCCAACACGCAGTCTCAATCGATACGCTTCCGACAGACACGCCGTAACATGAGGTTTTTCGCTTCAATTAGTCAACTACCCTGCGTCGCCTTACTACCTTCTTAGACTGTCTATAAAATGTGCATATGGCATACGGAATGGATGTTAAAGTGGGGGTTTCACTCCGGCACTGTTGTCATGCGGATTGTTTTTGGGTTCCTGGCTTGACCTTGTTTTCCTCACAACCCGACTACAGCCGCTACGGTGACGGTCAGATGTCAGAGGCTCGAAACAGACGCAAGTTTCAGGTTAGAGGCCCAGCGAACAGAAGCAGCTTATTGGGCAGAATACCGCAGCCGCACGATTTCTTCCAGAAAAGTGCAGTAAAGAGCAAAAGTGCTGAAAGAACCAGAGTTTTGGGCATGTTACGGCATGATACGGCATGTTCGCTAAAACTAGGACGCTTGCAACAGCAAAGGTGGGCCCAGGGCACAAAGTTGAAGCAATAGGCTAGTTGGAGGGTTCGTCCTGAGAGGTGGATTATTGCAAGCACTTGCATTGCAAGCCCCCAGCTCCTGTGTTCTCCAGCTTGAAGTCTGTGCCTCGCCCGCCTTTGTTGGATGCCACTACCACAGTGCCTGTCCGCAGAACCAGGTCGCCCGAGCCGTCAGTGGCACGGACAACATGGGGCCCACTGGTCAGCACATCATTGTCCGCCTCGCTACGGTACTTCACAATGTACTGGATGCCTGACTGAGTTCGCTGAGCCTTCTTCAGCGTGTCGTACACTTCATCAGCCTCCTGCATGCTCTCCACAATGATGAGAACCGAGCCGGGGCAGCCAACCTGCTGGCCTTACTACCGCGAGGAGTCGGAAGCAAGGCAAAAGGAAGCATCTGCTGCAAACAAGTGTTCCTGGCCAAGGGGCCAAAACGTGCCATCAGCGCGCCGTTGAAGAAGTCCCCTGTCTGCTGCGCGATTTTGTCGAGCCATTTCTTCTTGGCATTGGGCTGCTTGCCATACACGATGGGAGACAAATCGTAGAATCTGCTCGGCATGTGCCTCGGGATTTCGATGGCGTCGGCCTGATACACGTCGCGTAGGAAACGGCGGGCGCTCGAGGGGCCCAGAGTTCCAGAGAAGCCGCCGAACCAGCCATAGGCCTGCACGAAAGCCACGAGTGAGCTGAAGAAGGGCGCAGGCTCAATGCCTGTCATCGGAAGGCCTTGCTGCATTTCAACAAAAGGGCCCTCGTAGGTCCATCGTAGCAAGGGCTGCTCTATGCCAGTGGCGAGGTCAACCGGGACTATCGTCGGGTCTTGCCGTCGGGGGAAATCTCTAGACTGCTTCTTGGCCTTCACCACAAAGTCGCGACGGGCTTGACACCGAAGCGCCCTGTCGGCACCCTGCCAGAGGTTGCAGATCAGATTCTTTAGGGGCAACATGTGGGGAAGGTTTGGTTTTGGGCCAGACTCGAGCTTGTGGAGCTTGTCGGAAGCCAATTCTGCGAGCTTTGCTGATGCCGACGGTCCGTCATCTGCAGGCGCCATCGAAGCATGCATCTCAAACATCAGCTTATCAAGCGCCAAGTAGTTTGCATTCTTTCGGGCGTGTTGCAGAAGAGTCGTAGCACCATCGATGAGCTGGTGGTCACATTCATCAAGCAAGAGAAAACATTCCTTGATCCAGGCATTGAACTTCTCAAGCTCTGCTCCGGTCATCGTTATAACCAGACGTTGAGACTGAAAGTCTGCAATGATGCCATAAACTACCTTGGCTTAGGCCACACTTGCTGTGGACGCGCGGCACCAGCATAAAAAAGAGTCAAAGCCATTTCGCGTTCCACATTCTGATTCTTGTGCTCTTGGTATTTCGTGGTTGTTCATGCACATGGTTGGTACTACTACCCGCCGTCCACGGCTGCGTGTTGGGTTTCGGAGATGCTTACACCCTCAAAATGCAAGGGTGCGTACCCGGCAGGGAAGCCCACGCCGTGTAAATTCAAGCCCCCTGGGTTTGGGCCGAAGCGTGTTTGGGCTGGACGTTGTGCACCAAGCCTGTAAAGACCCCATAATGACCGCCCTTTAAGGAACCTCTTGGTGCCTATTGGTGACCCCTTACAACACTAGAGGAACATGAGAAACTGCCCGCGGGAGCCCAAAGGACGAGGCCGATGGCTTGAGCCGGACGCCCTTAAATCGGACATCACGCCATGTTTGGCGCAACGGCGAACAACGCCGACAAGACACGCTGATGCTCATGGTGCGCATACCCCCAGATAAAATTCAAAGTCTCGTTTTAAGGAATGATGCGCGCCGGGGTCCTTCTTTGGACCCCCGTGAAGGTACCCAAAACCCAGGAGCCGAAATTCGCCCGAGCCTAGCATGAAAAACGCGATAAACATAATACACCTAAAAATGATGCTCTCCGGAGGACGTGTTTGGACCTGGGCATGCGGGTAGCTAACGCTAGGGCTGGTGTCGCACACGGGCATGCCCGGATATTTTGAGCTCCGCTTTGCAGCGAATCCTAGAATCACCCGAGCCTGAACTGTCCCGGGGCATCGGGAGACGTGCCCGCAAGACGAAGCTTTTACGGCTGCCCCAAATCTCCTGCCATTGAACAAGTCGGAGGTAGTCCTGTAAAACGGCCTTTCCAAGCTCGTTTCATGACATCTCATAGCCCTATAGAGGGCCGCATGGCCTTCTCCTGAGCTCCTTCCAGCCAGTTCTGGTAGTCGTAGGGCGAGCATCATGGGTGGTTGTGAGAGTGTCTGAAGGCTGCGCTGCCCGCACTTGTGGTGTCGAACCCCCCAGCTTGAGCTGCGAGGGTTGGCGTGCCGCCGACTCTCCGGGAAACCAAGATCCGCGTTCTTTGGGCACCACCGCAGAGGCCTGAAGGTGCCAAGCCCGCAGCATCAGGTGATTTATTTTTTTGCCACCCGACTAGCATCAGGTGATGGACAGGAGGGTTTAGGGTTATCATCGGTGCGTGCACGCGCCCCTGCGCCTGCCCCTGCCCCCGCGCCCGTAAAGGAGACTCCATCGTGTTGATTATTGGGATTCGCTGCATGCTAGCTCTCGAGCTCCAGGCTTGGCCCGGGCGACAGCCACTATTCGCACTACACTACATTGTTCGGAATAGATAAACGGAATGTTATGATCATAGTTCCAAACAACTTCCAAACAAGAACCAGGCACTCCGGCGCCGTCCTTCCCCCAGCCAATCCTCTGACTGGTGCTCAAACTTGGGAATTGGATAGGGACTGTTATGATGAGATTGGGGTGTAGGGACAAAGGAGTTGAAGCGGGATCCACCCCCTTGTTCCCGACCACCAGTAACAGTCCTGAGCTCTTGACTCGCTGGATCCCTCGCCAGTCTCGATCCCATGTTAAGATACTGCTCGAAAAACTCCTGCATCTGCAACAAACTGTACCAGTAGCAACCGTAGTAGCATGGATGGTAATCAAGGTGATCGCAGCTAGCACAACAAATCTTCATCTGCATCTGCTGCAAGACGTACAATTATCGAGAACCCCAGTCTGCTGACACGAGAAGCAACCACCGTGCAACTGCCCAGGGCTATGCATGCTATGCAACTTATGCAAGCAGACGCCTTCGTCTGATTGACAGCCTCCTTTGCCAGATCTGAGTTGGATGTTGTTACGTGCACGGCAGCATCCGGTCGACGCTTGGCGAGTGCTGCTGCGATCGCTGCACATGTGATCGTCTTGCCTTCGCCAGTCTTCATCTGAAGCAGCCGTCTCTGACCCGTTAAGGAGGCATGCAAGGTCAAGAGCACTGTTGCAAGCTGTACTGGCCGAAGACTCTTCAAGTGCTTGGCCGCGGCCCTGGCGACCAGCACCGTCTCTAGCACGGCCTGCCTGCAGGTTGGTCCCTATAGACATGCCTAGACCTAGGCGCCGTGTGGAAGGATGCGCGGGGGCGAGGGAGCTCAAAACACGTCGGAGACCACAAAACCCAAACAAATGATGGAGCATCGCCTGCCTTGAGCCTTCGTTCATGTCCCCCAGCTCTTTGTTGATGGACTGCTCAGTTTCGCTGCGCGTCTGGTATTGGAAGAATCTGCCAGCGAGACGGAACGAAAGCTTAAGTGTCCTTGACAGCCATTCGCCTGTCTTGATATCACCGCTTTTAAAGCACTCTTCCACGACCTCCTCGCATGTTCTCGACTGGGGCCTGCCGGGAGACACAACGAGTTCGAGCATGTCCTTGTCAAGAGCTTCCAAATGCGTCTGTAGGCCATCAGGATGCTTCCATGGCTGCCACTTGGGAATGCCATGAGTTAAGCAGCAAGCCTTCTCGGGTAATCTATCTCGATGGCAAAGGATGCAATCAGGGGCTTCCAAGCACTGTCGACACACCTTAGAAGCTGCGAACGCAAAACCGGCGACATCGTCCAGCTTGACCTGAGGCATCTCGCAAGTGTAGTCGCCCTTCTCGAGCCATGCCAGCCAGCGGGTCCAATGGTCCTGAAGGAACCCCGCGAGCAGCTTGCGCATGGCGGCCAGAAAGGAGGCATCTGCCTTGTATCTCACCCATGCTGTGTCGACCGTGACATCAAGGCGGTCTTGCGATTGCAGCTTCTCCATAATATCGTACATCCAGCTATCATCCGACCCAGTCTCTCGCTTGCCTGTGTCACAAACGCTGGTCGTGCCAACTTCTCCGTGTTGCTTCAGCTGGGGGATCTTAGCAACGAAGTACGCACGAAGCCGCTGCTTCAGTTCAGGCAAGTGAAGATCTCCTTCGTGTTGCTTCAGCTCGGGGATCTTGGCAACCAAGTACTCACAAAGCCGCTGTTTCAGTTCAGGCACCTCGAACAGGCCTCAGATATGTAGAACATCAGCTCGGTCTCTCTTCACTACTCCCCAACGTGGGCATCCACAACTTATGCACGCAGATCAGTTGTGCATCAGAGTCTCTTGGCAAGAGCTCGATGCAAGCATCGAACTTCAGGTGTTCCAGCCCTCCTGTGTCATCCTTGCTTCCCTGCAGCTGGCAGGCAAGGTGAGAAAATCAACCCGTTGCTCTGTAATTAATACTCGTAATCGCTACCGTTCTGCATAAGAGACGGCTCTGAGAATATCTTGATCGCGTTTGTGATGCTTGCTGGTCTTGCTAGAAGCACATGGCGACATAGAATATCCTGATGGCATTTTGTGATGCCTGCTAAGGGAGCACATGAAGCCTTACGAAGGCTCAAGGCTGCGGACCTCCGGACATGGTCCCCTGGCAAGATGTTTACTTGTTTAAGCCAACTTCTTGGTGGCAAGGGAAGTGCTTCAACTGCACGACTTGCTTCAGGAGATCATGGGCATCGACTCTGCCTCTGAGTGTTGGTTTAGTCGCTCACTCTCGCACAAGGCAGGCAAGGTTGGTTGGTCTGTGTAGGGCAAATGACAAGCCCAAGCCAAGCAGTGTTGGTTTACGTATTGCCTTCGGAGGCCAAATTTCCCCAGGCTCAAGTTGCCAAGTGGAAGCACTCCTGCCTACCTTTGTTTTTTACATTGGGATGCCGGGCCCCATGCGAAAAGAGATTCCCCTAATGTCTCCCTCATCAAGAGTGTGCTTCCACTGCGCCCGTTTCGAAAGCATGTTGCTTCCTGTTGGCTGCCATGCCGCGGGCTTGCCGACGTACCCAGACGAGAAGTGAGCAAGTGTTCGCTTTCAGGGATGGGACTTCGGAGTGCGAACATGTCTCACGATGTCGTGTACCATGAACTGTGTGGCAAAATCAAGACCAAGCTGGCTAAGTTGAACGAGCTAATTGGCCTAGCCTATGAAACCTCAGGGGTACCAGCAGAACACAGGTTCTCCAGGTACATGGAGTTGTGTTCTTTCTGTGGTACTGACTCTTGCCACCAGTATACCCTGATCTCATGCACTGTGCGATAAACGTACGGCAAACCAGATATTGCACCTGTGGCCAGGTCTCTTGCAGAGGATCTTCGCAAGGCTTAGTAGCACCATTGCGATTGTTTCGATTAAGCAGAATATTAATATTGCTATCACTAAAATTCATATAACTACGGATGATTTCTACTACTGCTATGACAATTCCAGTATGACTGAGTATAATTTCATTTTTTGCTGCTCCTCCTGCTGCAGCTGCTGCTGACACTGCTATCACCTCTACGATTGCTACCCTTTCTGCGATTTACAGCAAAACCGGCTCCGCCTCGGTCCATCCCAGCAGCCAGCGGAAAACGCCAGCCAGACTGGCTACTACCCTGTCACACAGAGTTCCATGCAGCATTGTGGGGACCATGGAAGGAAGAGTTGCTCAGTGAAACTTGCACGGACCGAGATGTGAAAGGGCAAGCGAATTCCAAGATTCAAGAAGTAGATAGCAGCAAGCGACCAGACACTATGGCACGCTACATCACATTCTGCAAAAAATTTGGCGCATTCTGGTACAGTAGAGTCAGTAGAGTATCTTGATGCCGCATGCTGTATTCTCATCCTTGCAGACAGTGTGACCCGAGCAGGTTCCAGCCTAAGTCCTAAGTAAGCAAGGACAGTACAAATAACAGTGATAGCGATGGCAATAGCAGCAGTGGCACAAACAAAAAACAACAACAGTCGCAGTAATGGCGACTACCATAGTAGCGGGGTAGGCACGACTTATCCTGCAGAGGGTTGGGAGGGTGGGTGCGAAAATGAAATGGGCCAATGAGACTATAGCATCAGCATGTGTTTACTTTCTGGGGGCCGGGGGGCAGGCGGGCTGCGGAGTGATGCGGAGCGGTGAGGGGGGGAAGCGAGTCTAGCCCGTTCAGTTACCAGTTTGATTCCTGCACTTAAATCCAGCGAAGAGGTCCGAGTGAAGTTCAGGTACATGTACATGTTTCCCTTCGTGGTGGGGGTATCAAGTTTCATTTGGGCGGCGGCCCCTCTCGAGGAAAGGAAGCTGGCAGCTCACAAGGCTTTGGGGAGGCCCTGCGTCGCGAACTTCTGGTAAGATTTTCGTCGGCTCGGCGTGTTTAGGGCGCAGATCGTTTTTGCTTGCCACCTGCTGCGCTGTCCTCTCGATGTGTTTAGGGTTCAGGGTGAAGGGCTTCGACTCACAGGGAAAATGAGGGCTGGAGCGAGGGTGGAGGGGAGGGGAGGGGGGGGTCGAGACGGTGCCCCAGGGCGATCACTCTTCCGATTCTTCCAAAGAAACTGGCGCCATGCGCGGCCTTGCGGTAGGGAAACAGGAGGAGGCCAGCGCAGCAGGGCGCACATCCTTCTGTATGTCAGGACTTGAACTGTACTCTCAGCTGCCAGCTGCCCTGACATAGCACCGTGGACAATGCAATGCTGCGGCACATGCAGCGGCCACTCAGCTGCAGCCTCGCGCAAGAGCCCTGAAGGGCCTGTGCCAACATTCTGCTGAGCCTGCAGTCGCGAGAGCAAGCAACCTAGCTTGATGCTCAACCCTGGAAGCCGTGAGGCAGACTGGTGCGAGCGCTGTGTCTTTGCCTCGAAAGTCTGACTGCCTGCGCTGCAGTCGCAGTTGCGCTCCTGATAAGTCAGGAAACAAAGGGGTGGGGCCGTGTGACTTCAAATTCCTGATACATCAGGCACTAGGTCCCCCCAAATCGCTTTTGCCCCAAAACAAGAAGGTTGTAAGCGGGAGCATGCTCCAAAAGCTAGCTTTCAGATTTGTACGAGGGCCTTGCTCCTCCATCTGCCCCAAATTCTGGCCCCGAGAGGTGGCCTCACGGGTCTGTCGCGCTGGCCGCCCTGCAGGCCCTGGCCATGGAGGCAAAGTCCGCGAACCCAAGCATGTCGTTTCCCACTCCTAAACCTGCCTTCGGCAGTCCCGGCAGTCAGGCACAGGGGCTTCACCTCGAAGACACCGTCTACCTCAGCGACATCGAGCAACACCGTCTGCGAACATGTTCCCTCAGGCCCAAACCCGACCTGCTGCGGTGGCAATCCGTGGACCCGGCCAGGTCAGCACTTATTTTCTGGGGGTAGGCCTACCCATTCGATGGGCGTGAGCTTGAACAACGTCTGAAGCTTCCCAGGAGGCCGGAAGGCTGCAGGACTTCGAAGCCCGAGGAACACATTTTTCGGAGGAATCCGCGGGAGTCATGAGCCCAAGACAGAGGAAGCAGGATGCCACCCCCCGCCCCCACCTCGATCTGCCCAGAAAGCCCCCCATGTCATGCACCTAGAAAGTTTGCACCGCAGCATTTAGGGCCGTTGCATTCCCATGGCGCAGATACTCATTGACCTCGCCCACAGTCTTGCGAACGGCCTGTTTAGTTGTTTCCAGGCTGTCGAAGAGGTACCTGCAGGGTCACAGAATACACAGAGCCCCAGAGAGATCCTAAGGCTGCTGAGACTTTCTTGCCCTGCGTTTTAAGACCCCGGCCAAGTGGGGCCCAGTTTTCTCAAAGCCACCCAGTGCCTCGACCTGACAGCGCACACAGTGAAGCTCCAGAGCTGACAGCATGATAGAACCCCCAGCGGGAAGGGAACCATAGGGAACCTCATTTTGACCACGGCTTGTTTTGCCGATGGTCCAGACCAGCAACAAGTAGGGCCCCGGGTCCTCCTTAAGGTTTCTGTAAGGGGCCCTATAGATACCCTGCATTCGATACCAGGCCGTCCCCGCAATGAGGCTCAGACCCCTGTGGGCATTCTTCCGTCTGGACAATGCGCAAGTTCACGAGAAAGGCCGTCGCGTTCACGAGAAAGGCCGTCTCGTCCCCCACAGTCTGGAAATTTATGCGCGTCATCTCGTAACCCTCTGGACGTAGGGCCTCCTGCACTGGCAGAGGCCAAGCTGCAAAAAGAACAAGAACAAGAACAAGAGCAAGAGCAAGAGCAGGAGGAGGAGCAGGAGCAGGAGGAGAAGCAGGAGGAGAAGCAGGAGGAGGAGGAGGAGCAGCAGCAACAACAACAACAACAACAACAACCACCACCACCACCACCACCACCACAACCACCACCACCACCACCACCACCACCACCACCACCACCACCACCACAACCACAACCACCACCACCACCACCACCACAACCACCACAACCACCACCACAACCACAACCACCACCACAACCACCACCACAACCACCACCACAACCACCACCACAACAACCACCACAACAACCACCACAACAACCACAACAACCACAACAACCACAACAACCACAAGAACCACAAGAACCACAAGAACCACAAGAACCACAAGAACCACAAGAACCACAAGAACCACAAGAACCACAAGAACCACAAGAACCACAAGAACCACAAGAACCACAAGAACCACAAGAACCACAAGAACCACAAGAACCACAAGAACCACAAGA